TATTGAAAGTATTGTGACCAACAGCCAGTTAGGCTCAAATGAGCGTTCTCATTGGAGATCATGGTGGAGGTGTTGACTCAGAGGAACCCTTATGGAGGGGGAAGGGTTTTCCTTGCTGTGTTTACGTTGCTTGGTAGCATGAACCAGATCAGTTCAACCAGAATAGAAAGAGAGAAGAGGAACAACCATCTTGAACAAATATTCACCAACCACATAGCTAAGTTTCTTGTTCAGATTCTTTTCATACCATGATAAGAATTGAGTAGCAAAAGTTGTTCTCAGTCTGTCACTTTCATAGAATCATAGAGTAGTTTGGGTTGGAAGGGACCTTTAAAGGCCATCTAGTCCAACCCCCCTGCAATGAACAGGGACATCTTCAACTAGATCAGGTTGCTCAGAGCCCTGTCCAACCTGACCTTGAATATTTCCAGGGATGGGGCATCTACCACCTCTCTGGGCAACCTGTTCCATTTTTTCACCACCCTCATTGTAAAAAACATCTTCCTTATATCCAGTCTGAATCTACCCTCTCTTAGTTTAAAACCATTACCCCTTGTCCTATGGCAACAGGCCCTGCTAAAAAGGTCATCCCCATCTTTCTTATAAGCCCCCTTTAAGTACTGAAAGGCTGCAGTAAGGTTTCCCTGGAGCCTTCCCTTCTCCAGGCTGAACAACCCCAACTCTCTCGGCCTTTCTTCGTAGGAAAGGTGTTCCATCCCTCTGATCATTTTTGTGGCCCAACTCTGGACCCACTCCAACAGGTCCATGTCTTTCCTGTGCTGAGGGTTCCAGAGCTAGATGCAGTACTGCGGGGGGGTGTCTCACCAGAGTGGAGCAGAGGGGCAGAATCACTTCCCTTGACCTGCTGGCCATGCTTCTTTCGATGCAGCCCAGGATATGATTGGCCTTCTGGGCTGCGAGCATGCATTGCTGGCTCATGTCCAGCTTTTCATGCACCAGTACCGCCAAGTCCTTGTCTGCAGGGCTGCTTTCAATCCCTTCATCCCCCAGGCTGTATTGATACTGGGGGTTGCCCTGACCCAGGTGCAGGTCCCTGCACTTGGCCTTGTTGAACCTCCTGAGGTTCACAGGGCCCACTTCTCGAGCTTGTCCAGGTCCTGGTGGATGGCATCCTGTCCCTCAGGCCTATCAGCCCGACCACTCAGCTTGGTGTCGTCTGCAAACTTGCTGAGGATGCACTTGATCCCACAGCCTGTGATGACGATACTAAATAGTACTTGTCCCAGTATGGACCCCTGAGGGACACCACTTGTCACTGGTCTCCATCTGGACATTGAGCTGTTGACCACTACCCTCTGGATGTGACCATCCAACCAATTCCTCATCCACCTAACAGTCCACCCATCAAATCCATGTCTCCAATATAGAGAGAAGGATGTTGCTGGGGACTGTGTCAAAGACCTTACAGAAGTCCAGATAGATGACATCTGTAGCTCTTCCCTTGTCCACTGATGTAGTCACTCCATCATAGAAGGCCACTAGGTTGGTCAGGCAGGACATGCCCTTGGTGAAGCCATGCTGGCTATCTCGAATCACCTCCCTGTCCTCTGTGTGCCTTAGCATAGCTTCTAGGAGGATCTTTTCCATGATCTTCCCAGGCACAGAGGTAAAGCTGACAGGTCGGTAGTTCCCAGGGTCCTCCTGGGTCCTCCCTTTTTAAAAACGGGTGCAATGTTTCCTTTTTTCCAGTCACCAGGGACTTCACCTGACTGCCAGGACTTTTCAAATATCATGGAGAGTGGCTTGGCAACTACATCAGCCAATTCCCTCAGGACTCTGGGATGCATCTCGTCAGGTCCCATAGACTTATATACGTTCAGGTTCCTCAGATGGTCACGAACCTGGTCTTTTCTTACAGTGGGAAGGACTTTGCTCCTGCAGTCCCTGCCTTGCGATCCATCCACTTGAGAGCTGTGGGAAGAGAGGTTGCCAGTGAAGACTGAGGCAAAGAAATTGTTGAGTACCTCAGCCTTCTCCTTGCCTATTGTAACCAGTTTGCCAGTCTTGCTCATCACAGCAGGTACGTTTTCTTTGACCTTCCTTTTCTGGCTGACATACCTGTAGAAGTCCTTCTTATTATTCTTTGCAGCCATTGCCAAGTTCGGCTCCATCTGCACCTTGGCCTTCCTGACCCCATCCCTACACAACCGTGCAGCGTCCCTGTACTTTTCCCAGGATACCCGTCCCTACTTCCACTGCCTGTGCATCTCCATCTTGCCCTTTAGTTTGACCAGCAGGTCTCAGCCTTCCTTTCCTGATTTCTTGCACCTGAGGATTGAGAGCTCTTGAGCTCTATGGAAAGCTTCCTTAAAGATCAGCCAGCTCTGTTCTGCTCCCTTGTCCCTGAGGACATGTTCCCAGGGGGTCCTATTCACTAACTCCTTGAAGAGCTGGAAGTTTGCTTTCCTAAAATTCAGGGTCCTGACTTTGCTCTTTGCCTGACCCATATCCCTGAAGACTGCAAACTCTACCAGTGCATGATCACTGCAGCCCAGGCTGCCTCCAATCTTGACATCACCAGTTAGCTCACTTGGGTTGGTGACCATCAGGTCCAGTATCGCATCGCATCTGATAGGACTGTCTGTTGCCTGGCTTAAGAAGTTATCCTCAATGCGTTCCAGGAGTCTCCTGGATTGCCTACAGCTTGCTGTGCTACTTTTCCAGCAGATGTCGGGGTGGTTGAAGTCCCCCAGCAGGACGAGAGCCTGCGAGCGTGATGCCTCCTGTAGCTGGAGTAAGAGGCTTTGTCAGTAGGCTCCCCTTGATTGGGTGCCTTGTAGGAGACCCCAAACACAAGGTTCCCTTTGTTGCCTTGGTCTCTAATTCTTACCCATAAGCTTTCAGCCTGCTCGTGGCTGTTCTTCAGAGACAGCTCTTCACGCTCTATCCATTTCTTGATGTAGAAGGCAACCCCTCCACCCCTCCTTAGTCTCCTGCCACTTCTGAACAGCTTGTAGCCATCAATAGCCACGCTTCAGTCATGGGATTCGTCCCACCAAGTTTCAGTAATGGCAACTAGGTCATGGATTTCTAGCAGCATGGTGGCTTCCAGTTCCTCCTGTTTGTTGCCCATGCTATGTGCATTGGTGTAGAGGCACTTTAGCTGGGCTGTCGGCCGTGTCACCTTCTTAGAGGAACACTCCTTAATTCCTTTGAGGTATTTCACTGGTGTTTCCCTGTTGGCTCCTATTACCTCAGGAGCCCCAGCTCATCTCTGTAGGACTTCGTGTGCTGCAGTGTAGCCAGCACATCTTGGAGCAACCTCCTGTTTGTTGCCCATGCTGCATGCATTGGTGTAGAGGCACTTCAGCTTGGCTGTCGGCCATGTCACCTTCTTAGAGGAACACCCTTTAATTCCTTTGAGGTATTTCACTGATGTTTCCTTGTTGGCTCCTATTACCTCAGGAGCCCCTGGCTCATCTCCGTAAGACTTCAAGTGCGCTCCAGTGTAGCCAGCACATCTCAGAGAAACAGGCTGAGGGCCCTCGCTAGCACCCCATCCCTCTAACCTTGGTGTGTCATCCCACAGCTTGTCACAGGCAAGCCTGATATTATCCCCCTCCCCCTTCAAGCCTAGTTTAAAGCTCTGTCAATGAGCCCTGCTAGCTCATGAGCAAAGACCCTCTTCCCCCTTTGAGAAATGTGAATGCCATCCAATGCCAGTGAGCCTGGTGCCGTGTAGGCCATCCCATTATCAAAAAATCCAAAATTGTGGTGGTGACGCCAGCCACGGAGCCATGTATTGATAGACTGGGTGCATCTGTTTCTTTCAATGTCACTGTCTGCAACTGGAAGGTGAGAGGAAAAAATAACTTGTGCTCAAGATGCCCTTACCAACTGTCCCAAGGCCCTGAAGTCTCTTTTGATTGCCCTTGGACTACGTGTTGCGGCTTCATCGCCACCCACATAGAAGAGCAGTAATGGGTGATAGTCTGAGGACCGTACCAGGCTAGGAAGTTTCCTAGTGATGTCCTTAACCCGGGCTCCAGGGAGGCAGCAGACTTCCCTAAGAGGAGGGTCTGTCCAGCATATTGCACCCTCTGTTCCCCTCAGAAGGGAGTCACCTACAACTATAACTCATCTTTTTCTCCTCGTGGAGGTGGTTGTGATACAGGGGGGTAGGCGTTTCTGACCTTGGCGGCACCTCTGCTGTAGATGGACCATCATCCACATCATCCATTGACTGGCCTTCCACATCCAGAGCCTCTTATCTGTTGTACAGAGGC